TGTTAAATCCACTTTTATCTATATATAGCATATATTTGTTAATTAATATTATTTTACTTGTTTTTATTATATTGATTAATAAGTCAATATTATTTTGATAACTATGTATTCAACTGAGAGGGAAATTCTAAAACAACATATTGGATGTAAAAATGGTTGGGAAGATAAGTGTAACTTTCCTTTTGTTAAGCGATTAATTAGGACTGATAAGATCAGTAACAATGTCATTTCCATTTTAATGACAGTCTTTAAAATAAGAAGTGATTTATTTAGTTTTATGAGTTTTCTTTTGCCAATTGATTTTGATATGCCTAGTAATGACGAGTTTGATAAAATGTGCCTTAAGTTAACACGCCCAAAAAAGAAATATAAAAAAAATTTTAAAGCTATAAAAAACGAATAATTTTTTAAAATGCAACTGTCGCAAGCTCCACCCAAAAAAAAAAATCAGCAGATGCAGATGACTTTTTCACTTTAAATAACAGTCAGGAGTTACTGAATCAAATTGATCAATTAACTTCTGAAAATAAAACAAATATGGAGCAAATAGAAAAATTTAAAATGCAAGTATTTAAATTGCCAAAAATGTAAGATTGCTAAAAAAAATTAATATTGAAAAAAAAATTGCAAAAATTAGTGATTTAAGCCAGAACAGTTGCCAAATTTGCAAATGTTTTGCTAGTAGCGATAAGGATTTAGTTGTGGTTGATTCTTATTTAGACTACGACAACATTGGTTCCTCTGAATTATTTTGTGGGTTTAAATTAAGTAATCCACTGAATATATTAGTTAAAAAGCCAATAGTTAGTAAAAAATATACTTACATTAAGTTAGGAAATGGTAAACCTTATTCTAAGTTAGGTAGGCATGCTGCAGCTAAACGATCTAAACTTGCTTTTATATTCCTTCGATTATTATCTTGTTCAGATTTAGAAAGTGATTTGTCTGTGTTGTTTTGTGATTCTATGTCTTGTGAAAAGTCAATATTTTGTTGTGTTGCAAATAAGTTGGGTTTAGTTAAGCAGTTAAGTGTTTCTGATGCTGTAGAGCTACAGAGCCAATTAAGGATGCCCACGGCTGAATTCTGTAGACTAAGACGTATTTTGTGTAATCTTGGTGCAAGGATTCTCCCATCTGAGCCCAAGATGAGACAAGAACAAGAAATGCGGACAATGCATGTCAATAAAGAACATGTCACTGTGAAGTCCATGTTACTTTATCCATCTGCGAATGAAGCACCTTGTTTAGTATCTGTACTGATGGTCAAGAATTTGACAACTTATATTGAAGAGGTTTTTACTAATCTTTATGTACGCGACCACCTTAATTCGGATGTCGGTTTTGGCGAAGAAGTATGGCTCCTTTTTGCTGGTGATTGGTCATTTTGAAGTTATCAATTCTAAATCATCAGGGTCTGTATTTGATGTTCACTTAGTTGACAGGCATTTTGCCAACGACATTAAAAGAATTCAGTCGTCAGATTTTAAGCTAAAAGGCAAAATAGTCAGGTTGTTCTTAGGTGGAGATTTTCATTTTATCGATGATCTTCTGGGACACCAGGGTTCAGCTGCTAGCTTTACTAGTTCTACAGACCTAGTTAAGTTGAATTCTCTAAGAAACCATGCTTCAATGCCTCACACACCTGCTAATTGTAAAATCTTAAGGAGGACAATACAATCTCTGGAAAGTGCTTACAATGAGAACTTGTGTGAAAATAGACAAGGTGGAAACCTAAGAACTTTAGGTAAGTTTCATAATTCAATTATTGCTTCTGTGATTTTCCCCATAATAACTTTAGATAATGTCGTGCCACCTGTTTTGCATATTATGTTAGGAGTTGTGTTAAAACTGTATAAGTTATTGTTGAAGGAGTGTAAGACTTTAGATTGTCAAGCTGTTTCCTCTTTGTCGCATAATGAGAATGTGAGAACGAATGAATTGTGGGTTGCTAAAAGCGTTGAATATTCTAAAACAGCAGAAGCTTTACGTTTATTAGGAAATCAATTTGTAGACATTGCAAATCTACAGGCGCGTTGGTTAGCTTTTAATAAAAATATTTCTGAATTATCTCTAACTCCTCCAATAAAAAAATAACCTGTAAAAAGCAAGAAATGTGTGATAGTATTAGGTGTTTAATTACAAAATACAATTGTAACATTGATTGGGTGCAGTGTGGTACGTGCCAAAAATTGTTTGATCAATGTTGTGAAATTATTGGTGATTTGGAAAAGAGTGTATTGTGTGACATTGAGAAGTATGAGTGTTTAGCGTGTCAGGGTGAAGATATAGAATGTCTTGACCTTTATATTTCTGAAAAAATTTCTTTTATACGCGCACAACGGGAACTTTTAGACGTTAAGTATATTCGATTGCAAATGGAGTGTGAAGACCTAGAAAAAGAATATAAAAATAGCATAGGACCTCATGAGAGGTCTCTTTATAAGGCCCTTGAAGATATGAAGGTTGAGCAACAAGCTTACCATGGTAATGTATTTGTAGGTAATCATTGCAAAATAGTATTAAGAAACCACTATAAACTTTGTAGTTTTATTGATGATGAAGCAATTAAAAATAGAATTGTAAGTGTGTTTAGTGTTTTTAATAAGTTGCAACCTATTCTTTTTTGGCAAAAATTTCTTTCTGATGCCGAAATTACTGAGCTTCATCAATATATAAATTTATTTGCTATTGAGTTTCATGCTTGCTTTCCAAATGAAAGTATCACATAAAAATGCATGAACTTATTTTTAATGTGCCACTATTTGTAAAATTCCATAAAACTATTGGGTTTCTAAGTGAAGAGAAGGGAGAGTGTTTGCATAATAGCGTAAATAAGGAATTAAGACAGTTGCATTTAGTAAGAAATCAGGAGCAGAAGCTGCATCTTGTTTTAAAATGCTTTGAATTGCACAGCAAAGCTGATAGGAAGCTTCAAGCTAGTCTTGCATCAAATGTATGTAAAAATCTAGCTTTTATATATTAACTAGTGATCAGAGCAACTGGTATGTTGGTTGGGTATGATCTTGTATGTTTGTGTATTTAATTTAAAAAATGTATTAACCTTCATTATATGTAACATTTTTTTATAGATATCTTACATATCCATTCGATGTTTATCACCAGAAGTTAGTTCTACCTTTGCAGTACCTCTTCTCTACATACCTCCTCGCTGGTTAAAGAATGGAATATAAATCTCATATCAAGTTGGTGTAAAAATTTAGTTCAATAAATTAAGAATTTGTAAACGTTATCAAAATTTTGAGTGGAGCAATTGTTTTTCTGGTTTAGTATGAGTATAAATCTGATATCAATTGGATGTACAAAGATAGTTTACTACTTAAAGAATCTATCAGTAAACCAACTGATTATAAAACAGTTTTTAATGGGAATAAAAACAAATTTTCAAAAGATTTCAATTAGCTATTTGTATATTCAAACACTTTATTTACTGAGAGAAGAGACTGTAGATTCAAGTGCTATAAAATAATTCTACTACCAAAAGCGAAGTTAATTCAAAAACTTTAACTCAAATTTGGTCATGAATTGTTTTATTAGACTTGGTGAGTCTTTATATATTAACAACTTAATACCATATTATTAGAACTGTATGCACAGAAAAAAATAAATGCTTAAACTTTAAATGTTTTAACTAAATATTCCAAAATCGAAATCTGGCTTTATTTTGCAATCAATGAATTTATTGGAATAGGAAAATGAAACAAGAACTTCTAAGTTTATAAATGTACTCTTTTAACAGCTAATCCCCCTTTTAACTACATTTTTCATAACTTTTAACAGCTAATCCCCCTTTTAACTACATTTTTCATAACTTTGCGAAAAGTGCGGTTTGCTTTCAGGCCTCAATTAAGTCTGTTTTAGCTATCCTTAAACAATTAAGTAAGGTTTTTTTGTTTTTATTATAGTCAAACAATGGGTATATATGGGAATAACTATCAGAAATAAATTTTCTGATTTTTTTTTAATAAAAAGTAACGTCAAATTACTTGAATTCAGCCAACTTCATCATTTGTCGTGTTTTTTTTAAACTTAAAAGAGTTTTTTTACTAATGCATTAAATGTCGTAAGATGAAACATTTTATTGGTGTTTTTATTCTTTTTACAAAACAAAATTATTTTTAATATTTTAAAAGTTATAGAAGTTTTAGTAACACCCCTTAAGTCAATATTTTAAAAAAATAACAAGAAGCCGTTAAGCTCGGTTTGAAACAGCTGTGTGAGCCTGACATAAATTTTGAATTACAATATATATATATATATATATATATATATATATATATATATATATATATATATATATAGATAGATAGATACATACATACATACATACATACATACATACATACATACATACATACATACATACATACATACATACATACATACATACATACATACATACATAAATACATACATACATACATAGATACATACATAGATACATACATAGATACATACATAGATAGATACATAGATAGTCAATATATTATTAGTCAGTGCTATACAATTAAAATTTCAGTTAAATTTAAAAGTGCTATTAAATTTAATAGAAGTTTACTCAGACAATAAACTTGGTAATAAAAATTAAAAAAGAATAAACTTTATTATAAAAAAATTTAAAAGAATATAAAAATTTTAGTTGTAGTTTTGAAGTAAATCAAGAAGAAAATATCAAAAATGTTTATTTCTTTTGTCTAAATTTATTTATTACAGTAATTGTATGAAGGTTTTTTTGTAAAAAACAAAAACAAAAAAAGTTGTGCAAAAAGCATTAAAATAACTTAAATTAAGGTTATAAATTTTATAAATAACATAGTTATATGTTATGTTCTGTTACTAAAATGCTCTGTAGATTATAATGAAATTGTATCAAGTATTTATGAAACTTTAATTGTTTAATTTTATTAAAATAATATGAAAATTTTATTATCATATTTATATTTTTACATTATAAAAATATATTTTTTTTAAATATTTTAAAGGAAAAAAAGAGGGAGTGGGTTATTGATGACTTTAACTTTAACCATATTGGAGTTGCACTATTATCATTGATTTCATCATCCAGTGGATCGGGATGGCCTATGTAAGTTATTTCTAATATAAAAAAGAAAATATTGACAACTAATTTTAGAAGGAATTTTTATTTAATTCGATCTTATGAAAATTCTAAGGAATTAATATGTGAGGAAAACTAGACAAATAAAAATTTAAAAAGCATGAAAAAATAAATAAATAAAAGTTTAAAGAGAAAATGTAAATCTTAGACTGCTTGAATTAAGACTTTCTAATGTTAATGACACTGCTAAAGCAACTGCTTAAAAAGAAGAAAACCATAGGTTAGAGTAAGACTTTTTCTTACCATATTTATTTCCCTATTGCCAAGGTGACCATTTCAGTCGAAAAAGCTACTGCTTTTTCTTTTTTTAATTGTGGTTACCACCCTTAAACAAGTTAAGCACTGTGAAACAAGTTAAGTGTGTTTATGTAAGTTAAGTATCGTATAGTTTAATAGTACAGCACTTAAATTATTTAAACATTTTGTGTGAACCTCATCAAGTTGCATCAAGTTAAATCTCAAGTATTGATAATGTAATATCAATACTTGTAATATAATGTAATATATATTTTTTAATTTAAATAGTTCATAATTATTTATAATATTTTTGTCAAGCACTGTAGGCTAAACAATTTATTAAGTGAACAGAGTACTAGTAATGTGCATAAAAATGTATTAAGTGAACAGAGTACTAGTAATGTACATAATAAATTAAGTAATGAAGACACTGACTGAGGATGAAGAAATCTTGAAGTTGATCTAATAATAGAGGGTTTAATTTGTCTAGAGGTTTTAAAATTTGTGAAATTTTGATTAAAATTGTTTAATTTTCATCAACAAACTTCACAAGTTTGTGACAGTTTTAATATTGAAGAAAGGATATAATAATCTACTTCTTCACAAAATGGAAGTGAGTTATTAAAGACTGGCGAATATTTGTTAAAATTCGGATTACGTAGTTTACTGAAAGGCAAAGTAGTTCAGCTTTGAGTTTGGTGTCAAATCTGAAATAGAAATTCGGCTTTCAGTTAAATTCAGTAACAATTTCAAAATTTCATTTAAGCATTATAAATTGTATTATATGTTTTATGAATACTAACCTGTTTCTATTGGTTACAATCCTTTTTCAACTCTTTAACTTCAAAAAGTGTTTTGGAGTTGAACAGTTGAGAGAGGTTGTAACCAATATAAGAAGTAGCTTATTCAACTAATGTGACACACTTGACCTTGGAAACATGAGTTTAATGTAAAAAAAAAAATTTGTTGGAAAAAAATAAATTCAAGAGTCAATATTGGAAAAGTCTTTTTTAGGCACAAAGTCCATTCATCACTTATTAAATCTTATTTATCACTTTTAAAAAATCCTAAAGGTAAAAAACAGGTGAATATTTTACCAAGTATTCCTTTTTGCTTTATAAAATTGACAATCAAAATTTTCTAATAAAAGTTGTAAATGTTTTTGTTAATGTTTGTTCAAAAACATTAGGAGTTGTAAAGATTCCATAAGTTAAATTTTTATTATTACTGATTTTTTAGAATTTTTATTTTGGCGCAAATTGTTTTTTGTAAGCGTATATTTTTAAAATAAAATAAAATTTACTTGACTTCACTTGTTTTATGTCATGTTTTGAATTATGTTTAATTACAAATCATTTTTTAATAATAACTATTAAGTTGTTATTAAAAAATAATAACTTTAGTTTATAAAAAATAATTATATAGCAATCGAGGCACAGTGGTTAGAGCGCTTGCTTCAGAAACAAGAGACCATAGGGTTTAAAGTAAGCTCTGGGCATATTTCAAACCATCGGTAAGAAAGGAGGTTTGAACTTCCTAGTTTACTATGTTTCTGATGTACTCCTTGGCAAAACCGTTAGGTCTTCTTAGACTATTTTAAGCAGAAAACAAAAAAAACAAAAAAAAAAATTTTAAACAAAATTTTTTAAAATGTTTCTTTTTTTATTTAATCTGTTTTTAAAATCCAAGTTTGGCTTTTAGTTAAATTCGGTTTAGAAGTCCAAATTCATCTTTCCGTTAAATTTAGTATACGCATATGATTTAAATTTGTCTTTAACTTAAATTTGAGTCTTAAAATGTTGAATTCGCTGGTCCTTTTTAGAGACAGTGAGTGACATCTACCATCTTTAATAACTTGGTTCATGAAAGTGGTGAAGCTTCACCAAAATGGCATTGAGTTATTAAATCAAGTTTAAAAAAATGATTTAAAAAAAAAAAGATGTTATAAAATGTAATAACAATTTCTGCTGTTATCTTGTTAGGAACAAAATTGTTGAGACAAAACAGAATGGCTGCATGGCGCACATTGCAAGCAACTTTTTTCTTTATGTTACAAACATATGTAAATATTGCAAAGAAATTTTTATTTTAATAAGAAATGTTAAGTTGTTATGTTAATAAAATAATTTAACAAAAAATTTTGATGTCTGTGGTTAGCCACAGACATTACAATTTATTCAGGGACTACTAGGTATGACTTTGTCACCAAATCATAAGTATTACAGCTTTTAAAAAGAAATCATTGAATGTAAAGATTGGTTTTGTAAGTTTATTACAACTCATTTTTGTCTTATTCCAGTGAAATTTTAAAACTTTTTGTTCTGATTTTCTAAGCTTCAAAAATTTATAAATAAATGGTTTATGTGTGAATATACACCATTTACAATTATAGGTGTGTCTATAAATAGATGATTTTTAAGAAAAGTCAAAATTATGTAGCATAAAACTTTCAGATTAAATTTAATCAAAAATTAAAAAAAAAAGTAATTTGCATTTCAAATTTGCATCTTGACTGGCAATGGCAAATTAATTATTAACAAGTCATATTTCTACATTTTTCAAATTTAATGGCAAAAAATAATCAATTTTTTAACAATTACTATGTCTATACTTCATAATAGATTTTAATAAAGTTAATGTTTTATGTCAGTGAAATGGTGTTAGCTTCATAATAGATTTTAATAAAGTTAAGGTTTTATGTCAGTGAAATGGTGTTAGCGAGTCGTTCTTCAATAAAAGAACCAAACAGCATCACAAGTGAGGTTTATTGCAAAATTGTTAAAAAGTATCTTTTAACAATTTTTCAATAAACCTCACTTGTTAAAATATCTTGAACCTTTCATCAATTGTTTCCATTATAATAATATATATATTATTATTATATATAATATTATATATATTATTATAGTATAATTTTTAAGTTGGTTTGGTATTTGTTTGATATTTGCATTAAAAGTTTGCTTAATAATTCAAATATTCCATAGAAAGGTTAGGAGTAAGGAAATAGGAAAAAGTGAAAAATATGATAGCATTATTATTAAGTAAAAACTTAAAATAGACATTGTTATAAATGTAATCAACTTTGACATTAAGTGCAATTATTTCAGTTTACTTTTAAGCCATCCATCTAATGTTTTAAATAAAAATTTATTAATTTTATTAAAAATTTAAACAAGCATTTATTGTTGATACTCAATTTGGGGTTTTTATATAAAAATTTATTAATTTTATTAAAAATTTAAACAAATATTTATTGTTGATACTTAATTTGGGGTTTTTTAATAAAAATTTATTAGATTTATTAAAAATTTAAACAAACATTTATTGTTAATACCCAATTTGGGGTTTTTAAATAAAAATTTATTAATTTTATTAAAAATTTAAACAAACGTTTATTGTTGATACTTAATTTAACTTAATTGATCAACAATGTTTAAATTTTTAAATAAAAATTTAAACATTGTTGATCAATTATTACAATATTTCTTTAATAATTTATCATTAATTAATCCTTTAATTTGTTTAGTAATTTATCAATTTTTAATCCTTTAGTTTAATTTAGGAAAGTATTTCTATATTTTTCTATATAATTTCTATATTATCCGTTCTATATAATTTCTATATTATCCGTTCTATATAATTTCTATATTATCCGTTCTATATAATTTCTATATTATCCGTTCTATATAATTTCTATATTATCCGTTCTATATAATTTCTATATTATCCGTTCTATATAGTTTCTATATTATCCGTTCTATATAATTTCTATATTATCTGTTCTATATAATTTCTATATTATCTGTTCTATATAATTTCTATATTATCCGTTCTATATAATTTCTATATTATCCGTTCTATATAATTTCTATATTATCCGTTCTATATAATTTCTATATTATCCGTTCTATATAATTTCTATATTATCCGTTCTATATAATTTCTATATTATCCGTTCTATATAATTTCTATATTATCCGTTCTATATAATTTCTATATTATCTGTTCTATATAATTTCTATATTATCCGTTCTATATAATTTCTATATTATCCGTTCTATATAATTTCTATATTATCCATTCTATATAATTTCTATATTATCCGTTCTATATAATTTCTATATTATCTGTTCTATATAATTTCTATATTATCTGTTCTATATAATTTCTATATTATCCGTTCTATATAATTTCTATATTATCCGTTCTATATAATTTCTATATTATCTGTTCTATATAATTTCTATATTATCCGTTCTATATAATTTCTATATTATCCGTTCTATATAATTTCTATATTATCCATTCTATATAATTTCTATATTATCCGTTCTATATAATTTCTATATTATCCATTCTATATAATTTCTATATTATCCGTTCTATATAATTTCTATATTATCTGTTCTATATAATTTCTATATTATCTGTTCTATATAATTTCTATATTATCCGTTCTATATAATTTCTATATTATCCGTTCTATATAATTTCTATATTATCTGTTCTATATAATTTCTATATTATCCGTTCTATATAATTTCTATATTATCCGTTCTATATAATTTCTATATTATCCATTCTATATAATTTCTATATTATCCGTTCTATATAATTTCTATATTATCTGTTCTATATAATTTCTATATTATCTGTTCTATATAATTTCTATATTATCCGTTCTATATAATTTCTATATTATCCGTTCTATATAATTTCTATATTATCCGTTCTATATAATTTCTATATTATCCGTTCTATATAATTTCTATATTATCCATTCTATATAATTTCTATATTATCTGTTCTATATAATTTCTATATTATCCGTTCTATATAATTTCTATATTATCCGTTCTATATAATTTCTATATTATCCGTTCTATATAATTTCTATATTATCTGTTCTATATAATTTCTATATTATCTGTTCTATATAATTTCTATATTATCTGTTCTATATAATTTCTATATTATCCGTTCTATATAATTTCTATATTATCCGTTCTATATAATTTTTATATTATCCATTCTATATAATTTCTATATTATCCGTTCTATATAATTTCTATATTATCCATTCTATATAATTTCTATATTATCTGTTCTATATAATTTCTATATTATCCGTTCTATATAATTTCTATATTATCCGTTCTATATAATTTCTATATTATCCGTTCTATATAATTTCTATATTATCTGTTCTATATAATTTCTATATTATCCGTTCTATATAATTTCTATATTATCTGTTCTATATAATTTCTATATTATCCGGATAATATATAATTTCTATATTATCCGTTCTATATAATTTCTATATTATCCGTTCTATATAATTTCTATATTATCCGTTCTATATAATTTCTATATTATCCATTCTATATAATTTCTATATTATCTGTTCTATATAATTTCTATATTATCCGTTCTATATAATTTCTATATTATCCGTTCTATATAATTTCTATATTATCCGTTCTATATAATTTCTATATTATCTGTTCTATATAATTTCTATATTATCCGTTCTATATAATTTCTATATTATCTGTTCTATATAATTTCTATATTATCCGTTCTATATAATTTCTATATTATTCGTTCTATATAAAGAAAGATTTATATTCATACTAAAACTGGAAAAACTTAAACTCCAAAAAATTTTCTCCAAAAACTGAAAAGGGAATATTCATATGTTAAGGTAACATAAAACTATTGTTTAAATAAAGTAAATAATATTTTGGTTATTCGTCATATTTAGTCCATAAATTTAAGGTAGGTTATTTTAAAACAGTCATAAACAACACATCTATAAAAAATTCTTTTATTACATTTTTTTTGAATTGATAAATTTATTAGCTAAATATTTTCATGTTTGTAGATTTAAAAAAAGTTTTATAATATAAATGTTTACATTTTTAGTTTAATGCAGAGTGGGATTGACAGCGAAGGTGTGGATGAAGGTCCCTTAAGAAATAATAAAATTTGGTTATCACTTTATTTTATTGCGTTTCTAATAACAATGTTGTTCTTCTTTATAAATTTATTTATTGGAATGATTGTTTACACATTTAAAAAGTATTCCGGCAAAATTGAAGGAGAATTAGATAGAAATTCTGTATGATTATTTGTTTTGCAAAATTTTGTTAATTTACCTGAATAATATTTGGTTTAAATTTTGTTATATGTTTATTTTTTTTTATTTTTTTTTAATTTAAATTTTTTATTTTAACAAACTATTACTTTTTTTATTTTAACTTTATTTTACTTTAACAAACTGTTAATTTTTTTATTTTAACAAACTGTTAATTTTTTATATTTTAAGTAATATCATTCAGTTAAAATTGTTAAAAAAAATTTTGTTAATATTATTTTATTTATTTCAAGTTGTTATTTTTCTTTTTTACATTATTTTATTTTGCAGTGTTGTTCAAAAATAAAATTATTCAAAATTTTATTTTGTTTTTTCCAAAAAAATATTTTAAAAATATAAATGCATTTAACATTATCATTTGCATTAGGTCCAATATTAGTTTAATATTTTTAAGTAGTACTTTGTCTATAATTAGTCGCTTTTAGAGATACCTACAATTAGTAGCTTTCCGACACCCCTGCTTTTACATTTAGTAGCTTTCTGACACCTGTGCTTTTACAATTCTCACTTAAAACCAACTCATTCATTTTTTGTATTTGACTTTTTGATTTAATTTCCTGTTCAAAAAT